GAAATCCCATTCTTTTATTTTTGCCTGTAAATCGAGAGAGAAAACTCGGGATATTTCTGTTTCTTTTCGTTTTCTGCTGCTATTCCAGCATTTTCTATTCCATTTTTCTTTGCTTTCTGACCACATAATATGTGGATACGCCTTCGTACTTTATTCTCAAATGTGAATGATGAAATTCTGGTTTTTTTGCAATGCAATAGTCTTTCTTATCTAAAGTTTGAATAAACAACAAGTCCTTATTATCATTTGTTTTCAAAACGAAAAAAACGGACTTCGTTATTGTAAATGGTGTGTCATTAGTATAATAAAGAGCGGAAGAACAGAAACGAAAAGAAACAGAAATATCCCGAGTTTTCTCTCTCGGTTTACAGGCAAAAATAAAAGAATGGGATTTCAAGTTCAAACTATTCACTCTTTTTTCCTATTTGTAGCTTGGCGGAATGATCATTCCTACGATCCTCTACAAGCACTGAACACAAGTGAGTGGGATGAGGAATGTAAGTCTTACAGCTAACAGTTGTCAAAACTTTATTTGACATCAATTTTCATTTACATTTAGAGCCCAGTTGCGTTCCCATTCGGTGACACAGAGTGTATAGTCAGAAGTATATGAATGAAAAAGATGGTTGGTTCGTTCTAGGTACCCAGTAGCAACTGAGGGGCGGTCGGCAGAACTGGGTGAGTTCATCAAGTCACCGGCTTTTTTCTTTTTCAGGCATATACTCCTGGCTATACACTCTGTGTCTCCTCAGTTCCGCCAGTTCCCCTGGGAAATGATGGCACGTTCCTTCTAGGTACCCAGTAGGAACTGAGGGACCGTCGGCAGAACTAAGTCAATTCCTCGATTCCCCGGCTTTTTTCCTTTTTCATTCATATACTTCTGACTATACACTCTGTGTCACCTCAGTTCCGCCAGTTTCCCGGGGAAATGATGGTACGTTCCTTCTAGGTACCCAGTAGGAACTGCGGAACTGGGTCAATTCCTCGATTCCCCGGCTTTTTTTTGGTTTTTCAAGAAAGTTGTGTGTTTGTGTTTGCTGTTTCGTTTTTGGTTATTTGTACATGGAAAATGTCAGGTCTACTCATTTCCTCGGTTTCTTACGTTAGGTTTGAGCATGGGCTCATTTCCTTCAAAGAAATTGTGGAATTCAGAAGGAATTGTATGTGTAATGTTTGTGTCATTTCCTTGTCACGTTAATACCTGTCGGGGAATTGTCCGGGGAATATCGAGCAAATGTTTAGTGAACGATGGTCATTTCTCAGTTCCTTAGGAAATTATATATATTTGTGTGGTATTATTAGGAATTGAGAGAATTTTTATTGGTCAGTCCTTGGACACCCCTCACTGGAAGGCCGTTCTTAAAATATATGCAAACCGTACAAGACTAACTCACTCTAGAATGTTCGTCTAATATTCAGCACAGTTATGCTAGTTACGGTTACGACAGCTATGATAGTTACAGTTATCAGCAATTTCACAAGTACAGCTAACGGGTAAAAAACTGTAGCTGGTGCATACCTAATCCCATCCTTTTCCAAAATGAGGGTAAGATCCACTCTCTGGTAGGAGAACATACTTCTGTCTTTTATAAACGGTCTACAAATTATATGATGGAAACAGTTCACTGTCATCGATGAACTTGATTTCATACTGTGGTTTTTTTCATTGCAATACATACTTATTTAATGTTTATTGTATTACAAAGACAAAATAATAAAAATTAATGACTGAATGATTTTTATTTTTGCATGAGCATGGTTGTTACAAAAAAAGCATTACTTATCAAAATGTAACACCAAAGAAACAGAAGAAAGAAAGAATAAAAAACAAACCAAAAAAAAACGCAGAGAGAACCACAAATACGAGACGAGAACAGCAGATCACGAAAAAGTGCATACATAGAGGATGTTGATTTTTTATAACAGGTTTTAGACCTAAAGACGATGTTTGAAAATAGTTTTAAATCCGTTTGTGGTTGCGCGATGGATCACTTCACAAGCACCCTAGCACGTCATACAAAAGGGATGGCGCAAATGACGAGACACAGATTTTCTAATGCAATCTTTTACGCTGATTCCAATGGTAAAAGAATAAATTTTCTATCGCAGCTAGAGACCTGCGATAGAAAAATAGTTATGTGCAAAATACTTTTCCAGCGAAAAAGTGCGTTATTCAGCGGAAATACCCTTTGTTCTGACCGTTAGTCAGACCACTAGTCGCTGTCGTAGAACTTTCATTTTGGTTTCAAGTGAAAGATCTCGACGAGATATATTCAAGCTCTAAAAGAAAGATCATCTTCGATACCAGAATCTTGAGAGAAAGGTTTGCGGAAACCTCGATTTTCCAGAAAATCTGGAGGAGTTCGGGACAACTCTATAGGTTTTCCAAATCCATCAATCGATAGCTTATTTAATTCTCTTCAAAGCGAGACGTCAACCAACTTTCTACCACATTTCCTCGAAGAGATATAGAGAAAATGCGGAGACAAGCGAATATCTCACGTCAGAGTTAAAAGTCAAGCTCCGCTTTCACTCACCGAAGAAAAATGGCTCTAGTCTTTCAATGAAATAATACAGAAACGTAGTAGACGTCTTGTAATGCAATAAACATTAAATAAGAATGCATTGCATTGAAAAACACCAGGGTATGATTTACATAAATCCTAATTTCGTTTTATATGGATAGAAAATCATTTTTCTTTTGGCATCTTTGTAGATCTTTCATTTTTCCATTACCTCTAGAATTTCAATAACATTATAACCTGCTATGGCCATATCTCCTGTAGATGTTGAATCCTTTAACCATGCCTCAACTACTCGTATTACAACTGAATCACTCACGCGCACATATTCATAAAAAATTCAAATTTTGATACATTAGAGTCGATTCACCTAAGTGAGCAGACCCATATGTCTGATATTTGTAAAAAGACCATGACTATTGGCTGCCGTCCTCCCTCTGAACCCACTCCGCCTCATGTTCAACTAGACAGTTGTGCATCCAAGGACACACAGGTGTCCTATAACGCTGTACGAAAGACGTCCTCAGCAGAAAACCTTTACAAAAAACAAATGAGTTTGACGTGGTTGCAAGTACGCCACGATCTCACCCTTGCACCATAGAATAGTCATAGATCCAATAAACAAAGATCCACGATCATACCTAGCAAGTAAAGATGAATTCAACTCTCTCTGGTCCTATCGCTAATACAGCCGGTGTCCCTCAAGGTTCGATAATGGGCCTGTTGTTGTTTTTGATCCATATCAACGGCCTCCCATCTATTTTGGATACGGAAAATATCGTATTGTTCTTTGTGGATGACCTTTTTTGTGCAATACCACTTGATGACGATGAAACCTTGGATTCAGTGCAGAATGAGATGTCGAAGATTCCGATGTAGTGTGACACTAATCTGGTACTGCTAAATGCAGATAGATGTGAGAGTGAGGGTGAGGATAACTTTGTATGTGAAATTGAATGAGATTCTTTTTGAGAAATCTTGATTTTCAATATGTTATGAGCCTCTAAATTCTGAAGCTGTCTCCCGATATCCACATCCAGTCTCTCTTCAAAGTGGGATTCATGGATCAGACAGTAGAAAAACATGTAAATTACTTTAAATAAAATGAAGTTCAAGAATACTAGAACTATTTGTTGTGAATTTACTGGTGACTTTTCTTTTCATTGCAGAAAACAATCTGAGCTTATAGTTACAAAAATGTCAACTGATATCGATCAGAATCAAATGGCGTACGGTAATTTATCTGTTTTTCTACTGTCTGATCCATCTCCCCAAGGGGAAACAGCTAGTTTTTGAATTTTTCTGATTTTCATCGATTTTCACTGATTCTTATCGATTTTTTCCAATTTCCTTTGATTTGTTTGGGAAATCACGTAGACTGCGATAAATAGTGCAGAACCTTGTTATTGTTGTTATTCTTGCTTTGACTCTACGATATTCTTTTCTATATTCTTGGTGTCAATAAATATATAGAAGTGTGAGTGATAAATAAGAAAAATCTTGCAAAAGGTAATAAAACTGAAAGGAGTGTTCTATCCATTTAGCTGACATGGTAGAGCAGATACGGCTTAAGACAGATTTCTCTCAATATTAGTCTTTTTTGAGCGATTTTGCCCTAATTTTCAGTGACTTTTCCGACTTTTTGTGATTTTTATGATTTTCACCGATTTTAGCGATTCTGAACGATTTTTGGCGATTTCTGATTTCAACCGAAGCTTTTTTTAAGCGCAAAAATCAGCTGTTTTTCCCTTGCGACTCCCACTGTGAAGAGAGAATGGATGGAGAAATCAGGAGGCAACTTCAGAGTTTAGTGGCTCATAAAAGACTGAAAATCAAGATTTCTCAATCAGAATCGCTTTCAATTTCACATACAGAATTATCTGTAGAACCAAATCCTGTCGACAAAGCTTCTAGATGCTCAAAATTAAAATTTTCAAGATGCTCTCTATATTCCAAAAACAATTTATTATTATCAGGGTGATCGCACTCCACTTTGCACGCTTTTTACAAGGCTAAAAGTTGGCAAGATGTGACTGTGTGCAGTTTGTAGTCATCGAACGCTGATGTAACTTAAAAGCTCCTGTCTTAAAATAACAAGTTATGTCTTCGATAATAATGAGTTCAATAATTTCACTTTTTAACACTAAATGTCGTGTCTTAGTCAAACACGTATTACATGCAGGAAATCAATGTTTTTTTCGTTTAAAATGCATATATTTAATTTTTGTATCAGGGATCAAAAATCTCATGCATCTCATGACTTTCGTTATCCTGGTATATAGGATTCTTCTGGATTTCATTTCCAAAATGCATGTTTTCCCAAAATTTCACCACTGATATCACTGAATAAAATTTAAATTCTATTATTTGATATTTCGATCTAAAAGTCATGAGAACCTATCATACAGATATATAATTTCTCTAACATGCGAAACCGTATCGTATGTACTCGACATAGCACTTTTAGATGGCTTCAATGCAGTATGCATGCACATTTCGGTATATATCGCTATTTTTCTTTTACCTGTAGCATACGTTTTCTCATGCCAAAGAAATTACAATCATTCTTCTTTAGGAAAATACTCCTTTTTTTCTATTCAGGACGCCAGACTAAGAAACTAACTGTTGAACTTGGGTATATAATAGAAAAATGTGAACTAAATGATTTTATTATTGAATTTTCTTTTGCTTCTCATGATTGTATTGATGATATATGTAATGTTGTCAATTGGGCATTTCGTGGTAAACCATCATCCACAAATCAATTGGAAATATATTGCGGTTGGATTTGTGAAGAACATTTAGTAAGTGGAAAACGAATTTTACCACATCAATTAAAAAAATATATTGATAGAATGGAACAGAATAAACACAATCCGGATGAAGTCATCATTGTTGTAAAACTTATTAATAAAGATTTAGCTGATAAAAAACAAATTGTAGGCTCTATTCAAATCAGCCTGTACGATAGTACTTTGCAGCCATTGGAAGAAAAAGAAAATGGTATTGCTGTTGAATTTGGTTTAGTTGCTGTTGATCCAGATTATCAAAGTAAAGGAATTGGCACATTGATGTATGGCGTAGCTGTGGTAAGGAAAACATAGAGATATGTCTTAACATGGAGGATATATCTAACATTTACCGCATCTTAACCTTAAACAATAATCTGTTCTCAGAATTGGGAAAATTTTGTCCAGAAATCATTGTCTAAACTGTTAACATGTATACCATAAGTACAGCATACCAGGTACGAATATGATATTTACTTCGTCGAAAAATCACTTGTTTTGCAGATAATTTATAATTCTGTCTTTAATGATAATATTATAACATTTTAAATTTAACGTAGACTAAAATGAATTATATATGGTTAGCAAGTCTAGTGTGTCTACTATCCATATAAGTTGTAAGATCAAAAAAATAGCATATAGTAATAAATGTAATATAAAAAATATCTATAAACCCTTGCGAATCGGCACATTTTCCAAAATGATCTTTTGATTCTTTGCATCTAGGATCAATCTGAATAAACCACCGTGTAGAGTAAGGTTCATACTACAACTTAACCAGAGGATTTTTCAAAAAACCAACTCTTTGGTGATAGATGAAATAAAAAATATTTGTTAAGTAAAAGTATTTTTCTTAATTTTTTAAACGAAAATAAGCGAAAAAACAATTATAACGCGATATAATCACACCACATTCACCACATTTGTACAACATTATCTATAACAACTATTAATTGTTTAGATGATGAGTTCTTCTAGCTATTCTTTATATTCTTTATTCTAAAGATTATGATTCCTTTTATTTGACAATTCTAATGTGTGTTGTATTTACCAATTCATATGCTCGTGACACTTTTGAGACCATTTCTTAGGATACCCAGAACAGAAAAAACATTAATATCATTATCTAAGCAAATCAAAGTTATTACACATACGGTTGTACAAAATTCGATGTGATTGTATAGCGTTATTTTGTTTTTCACTTATTTTTGTTTCAAAATTTGATCGATGTCAAGTTCTACAGTTCCATCGAAATTCCTCAATTCAGTAAGACTGAAAGTATCGCTACTCGCTCTTATGCTTCTTTCTCTCTCCCTCCACTATCACATTCTCTCTACAAATTGGCAGATTCTGATCTAATTCTGCTAGATCCTAGTAGAACTAAAATTGAAATTCAGCCAGATTCTGGACAGAACCTTAGTAACAGTATATATTTGAATGTGTCGAATTCTGCCAGTTTCAGGAATTTCCAAGGAATTGTAGAACTGGACAACGCCGAAAAAATGAAGAAAAACGCTAATATTTTTTATTTCGTCTATCAGCAAAGAGTTGGTTTTTTGAAAAATCCTCTGGTTAAGTTGTAGTATGAACCTTACTCTACACGGTGGTTTATTCAGATTGATCCTAGATGCAATGAATCAAAAGATCATTTTGGAAAATGTGCCGATTCGCAAGGGTTTATAGATATTTT